ATTGCGAACACAATTGGTGAGAATTTTGCTGCTGTTTCTAGTGGCAGCAGCTAACCTCCGACATTTCTTTCTGTTAAGCAATGCTCTGAAAAAGCTCCAATTCAGTTCAACTCTCCCATTTCCAAGACATATAAAAGCAAATTCTCCATGTTTGAGCTAAGGAGAGAATTGATGCAAACAACAGCTCAAGCCCAAGTCTGGATGGTGTCACTTATGATATGCTGAAGCATCTGTCCTATAAGTCATTGGCTGCCCTTCTCACCCTTTTTAATTGAGTATGGGAGGAGCATTCCTTTCCCAGTGCATGGCAGAGAGCTGTTGTCATCCCCATAGCTAAACCAGGGAAAGACCCGAAGAATCTTTCCAACTACCGACCAATTGCTCTTACAAGTTGCGTTTGCAAATTATTTGAAAAAAAAAAAAAAAAGGTAAATCGCCGTCTAGTCAATTACCTAGAAAAATACAAAGTTATCTCACCATGTCAGAGTGGTTTCCACAAAGGTAGAACAACTACAGATAATATGCTCCTTTTGGAAACCTCTATCTGTAAAGCCTTTGTCAAAAGGAACCATTTAGTGTCGAAATTTTTTTATATTCGAAAAGCTAGGGCATGAAGATATGGTATATTGCGTGATCTTTAAAACAGTGAGTTGCACGGCAACCTGCGAATTTTCATAAGGAATTTCTTGAAGGCTAGGTTTTTTTCAAGTAAGAATTAGCTCAGTGTTTTCAGATGTGCTTTGTCAAGAAGAGAGTGTGCCACAAGGTTGTGTTTTTAGTGTTACTCTTTTTAGCTTAAGAATAAACTCTATTGTAAAAGAACTTCCTCCTTCCATTTCAGGTTCACTGTATGTTGATGACCTGCAGATAAGTTGTCAAAGTGCAGTTATGAGATACATGCAGTTGCAAATTTCTCTGAACAGGATTCAAAAGTGGTTAGATGGTGAGGGATTTACATTTTCAAAGGAGAAGACGGTTTGCGTGCATTTTTGTAATAAACGCAATCTTCATCCTAAGCCTGAGCTTCATCTTCAAGGTTTTTTGATTCTAGTTGTCCCTGAAGTAAAGTTTCTGGGAGTCATGTTTGACCGTAAGCTTACGTTCCTTCCCCGTATTTTATATTTAAGGAAGAAATGTTTAAAAATTGTAAATCTGCTAAAGTTGTAAAGTAATTCTATATGTTGATAGCTACAAACCCTCGCTTCAGTTAAAGCAACAGCAACTGTCACTTAATTCAGAAGTCAAACAACAAAAATCAGCGTTATATTTAAAAAATTTTCACAGGACTAGTTTCGATGGTTTTACCGAACCATCATCTTCAGCTGCAAAACCGCAAATGAACAAGATAAGAATAATGTTTAGATAGATAAGAAAGCCTGGACAAGAATAAGCAAGTGGCGCCATCTGTTGGCGAAACCAGAACTAAAACATAATTTCTCTAAAAGCCGAAGGCAAATTTGGATTGGAATTAGGATCGTTAACTAGAACAGAAAGATTTTTATGAATGTGAAATGCCTCTAGAAAATCCAGTTCTCCAATGGAAGATGTTTTTTGAATAATTTTGGCAGCAGAAAAATTGAAAGTGTGATTTTCGGACCAACAATGCTGAGCAACAGAAGACTTCTTCTGTGTTTTCCTTTTTTCTAACATATGCCTATGCCTCATGTTCTTTGACGCGAATTTTAAGGCTCTCTTAGTTTGGCCAATGTAATTAAACCACACTGGCAAGGAATCCTATAAATACCCCAGGAATTCATATCCGGAATGGGGTCCTTGAGTATAGAAGTTGGAATTTTATTGATGGGAGAGTAAACAACTATCAATAAAAAAAAACTCTCCCATCAATAAAATTCCAACTTCTATACTCAAGGACCCCATTCCGGATATGAATTCCTGGGGTATTTATAGGATTCCTTGCCAGTGTGGTTTAATTTACATTGGCCAAACTAAGAGAGCCTTAAAATTTCGCGTCAAGAACATGAGGCATATGTTAGAAAAAAGGAAACACAGAAGTCTTCTGTTGCTCAGCATTGTTGGTCCGAAAATCACACTTTCAATTTTTCTGCTGCAAAATTATTCAAAAAACATCTTCCATTGGAGAACTGGATTTTCTAGAGGCATTTCACATACATAAAAATCTTTCTGTTCTAGTTAACGATCCTAATTCCAATCCAAATTTGCCTTCGGCTTTTAGAGAAATTATGTTTTAGTTCTGGTTTCGCCAACAGATGGCGCCACTTGCTTATTCTTGTCCAGGCTTTCTTATCTTATCTAAACATTATTTCTTATCTTGTTCATTTGCGGTTTTGCAGCTGAAGATGATGGTTCGGTAAAACCATCGAAACTAGTCCTGTGAAAATTTTTTAAATATAACGCTGATTTTTGTTGTTTGACTTCTGAATTAGTATTTATTCGGCGTGTTATTGTGTCTTAACTGTCACTTAATCAGTATTTCAGTATTATGTCGCAATCGGACCATCCTCTCCAGATTTATAAACTTGATGACTATTATAAACTCTTATTTTCTGCATGCCCTCTTGATGTTCTTCCATTCTTTGAAAGAGCTGAATCATTGATGGAAAAATACTGCTTGTCAGATGTAATAGTCCAGGCAGTAAAGCATCTTGAAGTTGCGCATTGGGACAACCAGCAAATTCATTTTCTGGATATTTTCCACCATTTTCATAAGAATAATACTAGTGAGATTGTATATAGGCAGCTTTTTCATAAGCACAGGCATGAATATAGCACTTTTCACTCCCGTATATACAGATGGTTCCAAGAGAGTTGATCATGTAGGAGCATCCTTTGTAATTGGAGGGCAAAGAACTGCATGATGCTTTCTCTGTATATAGTGCTGAATTAACTGCTGTTTATCTTGCTCTCACTTTCATATCTAAGCTACAGCAGAAAAAGTTTATTGTTTACACAGACTCATCTAGTGCTCTAAAAGCGTTAAAAAGTTTTTCTGACACAGATAATTCTTTATTCATTGACATCTTAAAATTACATCAAAAGTTAAAGAGACATGGCTGTGAAATTCTCTACTGTTGGGTCCTTGGGCATACAGATATAAAAGGAAATGAGCTAGCGGACGGAACAGCAAAGTCTGCCTCTATGTTGTTAAATCTGCCTGTCCTCTACAGCAATATCAAAAAAGGCCATCACAAACAGGATTCTAAACCCATGGCAACTCTTCTGGGATGGTCAGCTGCTGAATAAACTGAGAAACGTGAAGCCTAAGGTGGAATACTGGAAAAGTGCTAGAAACCAGAGAGAGGAAGTGTTGTTAACACATCTAAGGATTGGTCACTCTTGTGTCAAACCTTTCAAAGGCTAAGAGTGAACCTGTTTGTTCTTACTGTGGGAGTGTTCTGATAGTGCATCGCTTTTTAATTGACTGCTTATATTTTAACACACTTCATTTAAAATATTTTCGTAACTCTGACTTGCCTCTTTACCGAATAATCGGGAAAGAGGTCAATACTAATGTATTTCAGTATTCGAAAGAAAAGGTTTTTATCATCTAATTTGATAATACCCTTGTATTTTAATGTAATTGGGAAAGAGGTCAATACTAATGTATTTCAGTATTCGAAAGAAAAGGTTTTTATCATCTAATTTGATAATACCCTTGTATTTTAATGTAATTTACTTTAATATCTCATGTTTTAAGATTTTATATCTGCTTCACATTTCATATTTTTATATAAATCAGTATTGCAAAATTCATCATTTTATTACTTCTTTTGATTTTAGATATCTGTTGTTGTGTTAAATTTGTGCTGGTTTTTAATTGTTTTGTGTGTTTTCATTCTGTATTCTCAACGTGTGTCTAGTGCTAATAACCTTTCCAGGTTGTGCACCATATAAACACTAATTCAATCCAATCCAAAAATCAAACCTATTGATAACTGTAATTTTTCCAATTTATAGGTAATGATTGTTTGGATGTATCTTATTAATTTTCATTTCTGTGCATGAGTATCTTTTTCAAAATGATTGGAACAAGATTTGAGAAAAGTATGTGTTCTGGTGTTGCACTTAAGTTTCATGAAAATTATAGCAGCATATTTTGTTTTAATATGCAATTTTTGTGTTACTGTGAAAGTGCTAGTCTAAGTAAGAAAGTTTTATTACTCAATAAAATAAAGCACTGTTTGTGTAGATTTGTTTTAATTTTGCAATATCATTACAATAGTTAGAAAAATAAGCAAGAGTTGAATAGTTAAAAATCATTTGATTGATTTTTTTAGAAATAATTTCCATCGGCTCTTTCCACTTTAACTATACTGAAAATAGATACTTACGTGTTATCCTGTTGACCGTGAAACTGTTGCCAAGCAGCATGATTTGGCACCAGGTATGAATAACTGTGACATAATAACACACTCAAAACATCTGGTTTTCGTCTCATGTAACTCTAATTGAGTCTTGATAAGCAGCGTTTCATTCTTATGAACAAAGATGTAAATCAACTGTTATTAAAGATTTTTTTCTTACATTTTGAAAAAAAAAAAAAAAAATTATTAAAATTTGGGACCAGCATTATACAGAACAACAAGCAGTAGATAATCTTCAAATTTATGGATCCTGATCATTAAAGAATGTGTGAACAATGATATGGCAGTTGAATATGACCAACAAAATAATAATAGATTAGAATTCCCTGCTGGAAGTTTGCAGTCATAGCATTTTAAACAAAGCTTCCTTAAAATTAAAGTCCCTAACAAAATACCAGAAATCAGTGAAAGATTGTTTAAGAAGCACAGAAATAAGCGTGTCAAATACTTATTTTTAATAAAATTTTAAAAAAAATCAGTTCTTTCAGAATTTTGCTGGAATGGTAGTTACAAATTTCACGACATCTTTTGCCAACTTTCATGGATCAGTGGTAGCCAGTTTTCACTGTCAACAGTATAATATGTAAGTACCTTAAATTATGTTTATCAATTCATTAAATTTCATGTTCCTTAATAAAGTTTTTTTCATATTTGTAGAGTTTTTATAGCTCCAGGAGCAGTTGTTTGCAAAGATTGTGAATTGCAAGGCGAAATAACTATTGGTAAGTAATGCACTTAACAGTGTTCAGAAAACAAATGGAATTGTTGTCATTAATTCAGTGACTATTTTGCAATATAATAAATTCCTTTCAGAAAATTTTAATTTATCCAAGTACTATATTAGGTCATTCAAGTTTTGCTGTTTTTTTGATAAAATTTGATTATTTTATTGTAGTCTATTACACTTCTTTTAATTTGATTTAATGCAGAAATCACTTTTATTTTGTTTTTACCTGTTATTGTTGGACATGGCTAAGGAAAAGAAAAAATAATTCTCAGTAAATGTCTCTATATCTACTTCCATAATTTATCAACTAATATCTGTGCTGAGTTTTTTAACTACTAAAAAAGTAACTAAACTTCCTCTCAAAAGCTGTGTATTAAGAGATGTGATCTTTTTCTGTTGTATAACAGTTATCCTTTGGGATGGGTTTTCTACTGAGTTCTGGTAAACTACTGTAGTTTTCCATTTGTTACATGAAGAATAAATGAATGATGGTTAGTTATATCTAGTTGTAAACAATGTTTCTTCGTAACTGAAAAATGTTTAGTGCGATTGGATCCAACTAATATTCTTTTGTTTAACTTTTTTGTGAAAATTTACTTTGCAGCTATCATTCACAGAAACTTATTTTTCATCTAATTGTATTTATTATTGTATTTTACTGAGATAGATTTCATGATTTTGCATTTGTCAAGAGACGAAAATAGCTGTCCATGTTTTGAAGGAAAACATAATCTTCACAAGGAAAGATTGTATTCCAGTGACCATCATATGAAATTACTTCAATGCAGCTTAAATTAACTATGCAGCCTTTGTTTCTGACAGAAAGAAAAAGGTGATCAAACACAAACATAGTTTCATGAATCTCATATTCCTTTGATTACTGAAACACAATTTTTTTACTTATGGTGCCATCAGTCGACATCAGTTGAATTCTGCAAAGCACATCTTCAAATAAATTGCACCACAATAATTTATTAGAATAGTTAGATGAAGGATATGTGTCAATTCCTTGTTATGTTCTAACTTTAATATTGGTGCTTATAACAAAATTATTGAAATTGACAAAGGCTTATTCATAAGAAAAAATAACATATGTTATGTTCATCATCCCATAACAAGGGTTTTACAAAGGATGTGCTGTTTCTGATTGTTCCATGCAAAGTTTAATGGCCATGTTAGAGGAAAATGCTGCTGATGGAATTGAATTTTTTTACTGCAGGAGTGATATAAAGTTGATTTCCAAACTGTCAAACATCTCACAATAAGTTAGCCACTAACAGAAATTTAGTAAAAAGGGAAGCCAACTTGAGAAATAAAACAGTTTTATTTGGGGAAGGAATCGAGTATGGAGCCAAAAATATGAGGATGAAATAAGCTAAAATTTGCTGATAATGGTGTCAAAATGTATAGTAGAGCTTTAATAGAAAAATATACTTCCTTCTTCAAATAATTAATATTAGGATATGATAAGGTAATTAAACATTATGCTATTGACTTGGAAATTTGGTTACCATCGAACCATGAAAGTTAATGGATTTTTCACCAAAATTTGGCCGATGTTTGTATGGAATTTTGAGGAGCTAATGCCTTTTTATTTAATAAACAGTCAGTATTCAACCTGCTTCATTTTTAGCTTCATAAAAGTTTTTTCTGATTTCTACTATTTTGTTAAGTCCAACGATTTTACAAGGAGTTCTGTTTAGAATGCTATGAATATAAATTTCCCACACATTTTTCAGTCCTTTGTCGGCCATATTCAGCTAACTACCATATTTACGCGAATCTAATGCGCATCGTTTTTGGCCAAATGTAGTATTCAAAATTGGGGTGCGCATTAGATTCGAGTGCAAAGTTCGCCGATGACGTCAACCAAATTTCTCGACTGCATTTACCGTTACATTTATCGTTGACACATTATTGCATAGAGGATACAAACTGCAGAGTACGTAGTCACGAAATGGAGGGCAAACAGAGAAGAATGTCATATGACGCTACTTTTCAAACGTAAAGTAATTCTTTATTCTTTATGCTGAAAAAAATGGCAATAGAAAGGCAGGGAGAGAGTTCAACGTAGCTGAGAGCAATGTTCGCTTGTGGCGGCAACAGAAATTGGCACTGTTTGCAACTAAAGCTAGTAGAAAGAAAATTCACTGGCCCTCGCAAAGGAAGACACCCTAAAATTGAAGAAAAAGTTTTGGAATTTGTACGTGAAAGGAGGAAGAATGGACAACCTGTGACTAGTGACACCATAAGAAATAAAGCAAAAGAGGAGGCTGAAGTTCTTGGAATACCGAAACAAGAGTTTAAGGCTAGCCGTGGATGGGTGGATCGGTTTATGAAGCGGATGGGTTTATCTCTAAGACGCCGTACAACAATATGCCAAAAGCTTCCTGCAGATTTTGAGGGAAAACTACTAACATTTCAGCGGTATGTCATCACACTTCGGAAGGAAAAGAATTTTTCAATGGGGCAAATTGGCAACGCTGACGAGACGGCAATTTGGTTTGATATGCCTCGTAACTACACCATTACGGAGAAGGGGACTAAGGAAGTTATCATCAAAACTTCGGGATGTGAAAAACAACGCGTAACAGTGATGCTGGCAATAACAGCAGACGGGTGCAAACTTCCCCCTTTCTTAATCTTCATGCCCTAAAACATGCCCTAAAACCCCTAAGAATGAAAAGCTGTTCCCAGATGATGTCCTGATTCGAAACCAAGAGAAGGGGTGGATGACGGAATCATTAATGCTTGATTGGCTCCGAAATGTATGGAAACGCCGTCCCGGTGGGCTCTCTAATCCACCATCAATGCTTTGTCTGGACGCATTTCGTGGTCATCTCACCGACGACGTAAAAAAGAAGATGCACAGCCTAGGCAGTGATCTTGTTATCATTCCTGGAGGGATGACGTCTGTGTTACAACCCCTGGACGTTAGTATAAATAAACCTTTTAAGGGGTACGTTCAGGCGGAGTACGAAAAATGGTTTTGTGAGCCAAACCGTGTATTGACCCCGACAGGAAAAATTAAGCGTGCTGCACCGCACATTGTTGCACACTGGGTTTCTGCTGCCTGGAAAAGCATCGAAGCACCAATGATTGTGAAATCTTTCAAGAAATGCTGCATTTCAAATTCATTGAATGGCAGTGACGATGACGTGCTCTGGAACGCCGAGGATGACGATGACGATGATGAGGAAAGAAGAAATGAATCTGCTTCTGACGAAGAGAGCTGCGAGGATTCCAGTGATGAAAACATTAGTGAATAAAGACGTTTACTATTAATCACTGATTGTAGAAACTGTTAGCTAGATAGAAATGTTACGATTTATTTCATGTTCATATTTTACGATAGGTACCGTATATACGGTAGTGCTAATTAACAATGATTGTTTCACATGACAATAGCCCACTAATAGGTTAATTCTATGTTCTGCTACTTTATGTATAAATCCATTGTTGTATAAAATATGGTATCTAAATTTAAATAAAATTATCATACCATTAATTGATAGTTTATATACAAATCCATTGTTGTATAAAATAAGATTCAATAAATTCCTCATATCATTGATGCGCATTACATTCGCCGACAAACAATTTTTTTATTATTTAAAGTTTTAAAATGGGGATGCGCATTAGATTCGATGGCGCATGATTCGTATACTTGTTATTTATGCAACTTTTATAAGAATAAATTTTAAAGACCATGATCGCTGTTTTAAAACATATCGAACTGATTTTTTAAATGCAAGAAAAACGCATAACGTTATTTTAGTTTAACAAAAGTTTCCTGCCACCACAAATATCATCTGCACAAACAGTTCATGTTGCCATGTATAATCATGTTTCTTCAAATGAATTTTTTCATTTGAAAAAAAGAGACTTGCATTAGAACACCATGTTGTGTAATTTGTAAAAAAAATATCGTTATCATTGAGTACAATGTGTCAAAAATGGAACTATCACATTTATATGATTAGAAACATCATTTACTTCCAGTTCTGTTGCAAAAAATCAGCTACAGAATGTCACTAAATCATGTGTACTAATGTTCTATCAATAAGACCCTGTGAAGGTTTGGCACCAAAAGTTCAAAGGACTATGACATTCAGGAAGCAGAGCACTCCGGCTGGCCTATTCATGTTGATGAGGCCCGCCTGCGAAAACTTGTGGAAGAAGATGAGTATGCAACCCCTCAAGAACTTGCTAAGGAGTTAGTATTAGTACTATGCATCACATAAACTTGACGTACAAGTTCAATTACTGGGTGTCTCAAGCAGATAGCTGACTCAAGCAGATAGGGACAACGTGCTCGGGCCTGCAACTAATCTGCTCAAATATCAGCACAAAGACAAAATTCTGAACCGGATTGTCATTTGTGATGAAAAGTGGATTTACTCCAACAGCACTGGCCAAAAAGCGAGTTGGTCTGCACCCGGTGAGCTCATCTGCACCGTCACAAAGTACAATTTGACTAATAAAAAGATCATGCAATGTATCTGGTGGGATTACCGTCATATTATCCACCAAAAGGATCTGAATGTTAAAGAGAGGTGGTAATTATCCACCAAGAGGATCTGAAAGGTAAAACTCTCAAGAGTAAGGTGTACAGCAATATGCTAGTCTGTGTTGATGCTGCTATCAAAGAAAAATGTTGAACTCAGTGCCAACACAAAAAGGCAATGCAAGACCATATGTGTCATCGAACTCTGTACGAACTCAAATGGGATTTTTTGCCACATGCACCATATAGCCCTGACATTGCTTCTTCAGACTTTTACCTTTTTTTCACATCTTGGTGGTGCTATATTCTATTCTGCACAGGACATCTGAAATGAGGTTGATCTGTTTTTGGACTCATGGCCACCAAGTTTCTGAGCAGAAGGCTTTGGAAAACTACCAAAGCATGGATAATAATGCTAATTAATTTGCTGTAAATATATTCATGTGCTGCATAAAATCATTTTAGGGACTGTAAACCATGGGCTACCAGTTTAAGACCACTGCCTGTTAACAATATAGTGATTAATGATGCTGATTGCCATACTGAAAGGCCTGGGTTTGAATCCTGAGGAAGGCATGAATGCTTCTAAGTGTATAGTATCTGTATGGCAAGGAGGCACTTCTTGAGAGGTTGGAGTTGGTGAAGAGGGGTTGGAAGACCCTCAGACCGTCTCCTGGGGTGTTCTGCCTCTGAAATCCATCCAGGATGAAAACTTAGCAGACACTATGATAACTCATGCTTAATTGGATGCACAGACACTGGCCTTTGGTACAGTCAACATGTGACTGTACCCATTGGGTTTCTTTTTCTTTGATTCATAGTCCAGTGTTATACATTGTTATCTGTCTTATTTCAATATATAGGCTCATCACCAATCTATATTTACTAGCTGAGAACTGAAATCAGTATTTGACTTTGAAATCATAATATGGTACAAATAATTTACTTTTATATTATAGAAATATCATTTTTTATTTCCTTTTTGTTAAATGAATTGATTCTGAAATTTGTTCCTAACTTTAAAGTTTTTTCTGTTAGGTAGTCGATGTGTCATACACCCCAAGGCTCGCATTATAGCTGAAGCAGGCCCAATTATAATTGGTGAATGTAATTTAATTGAAGAGCAGGTTCAAATATTAAATGTGTATGTATATTATGTGTTTTTATCATAAAAATGTATTTGAATGTTCAAACATTATATTTTTCATGAAATCTCCAAACATGAAATAAGCTGATATATTATATAAATGTCAAAATTTAATCTTATTTAGATTGTAATTTCAATAAATCCCTCTACATCTCAGACAATCTGTACTTTTTTTTTTTTTTTTTTTTTTTTTTAACATTAGTTAGAGCATCTTAAAATGACATATCGCTTATTCAGATAAAAAGAAAAAAATTCATACAAATAAAAGATTTGAATTGTCAATTAACTTTATTGGTTTTCTTCAACAGAGCCTTTTGACAGTTTTGTTTAAAAGTTTAATGTAGTTCAAAATCCAGATCACCCAAATTTTTTTTTAATAGAATGTTTTTCCAGAAAAAGAGAAGGATTCTGATAATAATAATATATGTGAAAGATCCTTAATTTCATTTCAGCACTAAATAGAACACCTTTATGTTGAAGAATGACTGCATTTGCTTGGTATACATCTTAAACCAAAACATCCTACTAAAGTGTGTCACTGATTTAACACCTAAATAACATCTCTGATTCTTCAACACGTGACTCGCACATTTCACAAAAGTCATTTTAACTTAATACCAGGGCTGTGGAGTCGGTAGAGAAAATAATATATATAATACAGTACAAAGTCTCTAATCCGGACGTCCATTACCCGGAATGATCTATAATCCGCACCTCAAAGCCACAAACTTACACATGCGCATAATGCGTTTACGCATGCGCGTTTGATGCGCGCATCTGATACGCATAAAGCCAATAAAGTGTTTACCCGTGTGTGCTTCTGATAGTGAAGAAAGTAGCAGAGAATGTGATTAAAAATGAAAAAATTTCAATTGATAAGTTAGTTGGTATTCTCGACACAGCAATTACAGGACTTGAACAGTGGAACTTTGTAACTGAAAAAGAAATTATGTCTGTTTATAGGATTAAATAGAAAATTAGCACAAAAACGAAGCAACTTAACTTACTTGATAAAATGTTTACTAAGTAACAATAAATATTAAGCTTTTTTTTTTTTTTTTTTTTTTTTTGTAAATTTTTGATACCTTTTAGATCATAATTGCTCTTTATTCATAAATTATGGTTTCATATTTTTAATTGTATTATTTCTGCATGCCATCTTACCAGATATAATTTGATGATCTATAATCTGGAAAAAAAACCCTAATCCGGAATCGCCGAAGTCCCGACAAATCCGGATTACGGACTTTGTACTGTATATATATGACTTCCTCATATATATATGTAAACGTATACACATGGGCTACAGCTTATATTTTTTAATATAAAAGAAGTAATAGATGCTACAAAAAAAGAATTGATGGCATAGCAAATTATTTATATTAATTAACATTTATTATGAAATGGTAAAACTGGCATTACTTATTTCTAAGAAACAGTATAGCTTCGGCAAGACCTTCTTTGTTGGAGAGCCATAGATCTGATTTGATAAACTTCAGAGCTGAGAAAAGTCTTTTCACACTAACTTGAATACAAGAAAGAGCTGTTACTGCCAGAGCTACTTCTTTTAACTTTTCAGGATAGAATTTTTATAAGTTCTAAAAGAGGTGTCTTACAAGCACAATCATATTTCTCTAGTTTTTCAAAGGCCGTGTAGAAATCTTGGTATTTTTTCATTTTTCTAAAAGCTCTTGGTTCTTTATTTTCATTCACTTTGCCTTAGCCTTTTCAATATTATCCAAAAATATTTCTCGAAATTTAATTTATCTTTGGAAGAGGATGATAGAGACTCAACTGCAATGTCTGCAATTTGACTGTCCTGATTCGTTTGGAAGAGGATGATAGAGACTCAATTGCAATGTGTGCAGTTTGACTGTCCTGATTCGTATTCTCCAATTATTCTGAGAATAATTTCATTCTTAATGAAAGTTCATAGATGGCTTTCTCTGGATTTTTAATTTGTTCATCATCCAAGAAAATTTGGTGTTTCGGATCTATATATATTGAACCCAGCAAGATCTTTGTCTAGCAAACTAGATTCTCTTTTCTTGATTGAAGAAATGATTCCTTCTGCAATAAACCCTTCATTTCAGGAAGAATAAACATCACATTCTTCCATTCTTGCCGCCTGTCAATTCTGCAGATTCCAGCTTTTTTGTGGCTATATACGGTGTAGAAAGAAGAGTTTCCAATTCTGCAAGATCATTCCACAGTCTTTCTGTTAGTGAAACATTAGGGTGTTATCTATATCTTCTAAAAATGTTCTTAATTCTAACAACCTCTTTTTCATCATTTGAAAGTAGTTAAGGAAGTACATATTTCCATATTGCATTGCTTGATCAATAATTGCTCTCTTCCTAGGAATGGCGTCAATTTTGGGAGTTTTTGCTACTGTTGCTGATCGCCTAAATTTACCAGTGAGATTTGTAACTAAGTGATTCAGTTTAATCACTAATGGCAAATATCACATCCATCTTCCTCCCTTATATTTATTTATTAAGTATATAGTCCATAAATAAAAAAAACTCAGCTTGCCATTAAATTTTTTTCAATTCATTTTAATTTCATTTCAAATTCAAACTGTCTAACAGAAACTGGAGTCAGAGTCGACCTGTTTTTAGCGACTTCAGCTTCGACTCCTTTTACCGCAAAATCCGACTCAGACTCCACAGCACTCTTTAATACCCATTCCAAGGCAATTTGAAGGAAGCGTTGAGTTTTCATGCCAGAATTTATCGACAAAAGACTGTAATCATCATTTGGAGTATAGGAAGATGATGCTTGCTTGGTATGAAAACCGGTTCGATCTTTTTAGCAGTATCCTGTAGGCAGATGAAGTTGTGTTTCATGTCGGGAAATTTGATAATTGGTGTAATTAGGTTGAACAAATTAGCCAAGTTCTTGCAAATGTACCTCTGGAGTATTTTCAAGAAGCCTGCTGCAAATATTTCCAGCCGGCCTATGAAAACTGCCATGGCAACAAACAAAGTGCTTGTTTTGTTGAAACTGATTTAGACTCAAAACAAGTTATAGAAGATGTAGAACCAAAAAGTAAAGAAGGGATTTTATCTAATTTGGGGGCAGATTGATGCATAAAATAATTTATAAGAGTGAGACTGAGAAGTCTGAAGCAACACTAAAGCATTTAATAAGAAGAGAAACATACCAATTAGGTAATTAATAATATAATATTAGGCAAAAATATAACCATATATTAACATAGATTTAAAAAAAAATAAACCTGCATCAGTTTCAAAAGTGATTTAAAATTGATCCATCTTCTGCAGAAGAGCTATAAAGATTTTGGTTTCTTTCATTTTTTAATTTATAAGAGAGAGAAATTTGAAAAAATTTTTAATTAGAAAGGGATTGTTGTAATGTTATGTTTGATATTAAATCACATTTTATACAAATTAATTTTGAAAATAAAAGATTATATTTATTGAAATGTATTATGTTTTTTAATTGAATAAAATGTTAGTTTTCAGAAGAAAGTGCCAGGTTGGCAAGAAAGTAATTTCGGTATTTTAGTGTGAAATAAAACTCTGTAATAAACTTTTTAGTGTGAATAATATTTTTGGGGGGGGTATAAAAAATGAACTTTAATCAGTCTGATGTTTTCCATTCTGTTGGATGATCTTTTGTGATCTCTCCGGCAACTTCATGATTTTGCACTTATAGAACTTCTGTCAGAAAAAAAAAAAAAAAAAAAAACTCAACTACGAGTGATTTGAGGTCATCGTTATTTCTTAAATTTTTACTATTTAAGAAGATTTGCTTTGTCAATTCTGCCCTTTTCTTTTTGATTGCTTCCTCCAAATTTTATAAGTTGTAAAAAAAAATACACAACACCTTTGTAATATCACCAAATTAACAGCATGATCCTTTTTTGATGCAGTTTAGTCTTCGATATGATTTGAGCTGATTCATCATACTTGGACCATGATTTTTTCTATTAATGTTACAGTACATGATCTATTTTACATCAACAGTGATAAATTGCTTCAAAGAGGTTCAGCTACATTAAGTTTGAAATGCGGATTGCAAATATTTATTCCTTGTGATAAGTGAATTTCTTTTTATTTCATGCAGGACCCAAATATCGAGCTTCTTAATGAGTCCAAGACATCTGATGTAATTTTCTAATCTAGTTGTTGTCTTTGATATATTTAACATTTTTACAATATCTCTCAGAGTCGCATGACGATTTAATTCAATTGTGGCTTTAATTTTGCCATTATCAACTTTAGGAGGTTAGCCAGAACATTTATCATCTTCAACTGAAAAATCTCCAGAACAAAATTTTTAAGCCAATTCAGACACATTCAGACTTTTAACAGGGTAGCTATACTACGTAGTAAACCAGAAAAATTCAGGGAATTCAAATATTGATGAAAAAAGTTAGAATTTAAATATTTTAGTCAAATCTGGAAAAGACAGGGAATGTCATATGGCGACTTGTGTGCAGCCGCCACATGTTGCTGAAAATAAAACTGAAGATTTAATCTGCATTTTTTTTCATTTACTAATGCTTTAACACTTTATCTTTAAAAAGGCTTCTCTGTTGCTACGCCTTTTCTTCTTGAGAAAAGTAGAAAATCAAGAATTGTTAAAGATTAAATTAGCAACGAAACTTCTTTTCTCTTCTCTATCTACAACTGTAACCCTTCTCGCACTGCATCATTTCAAGACTTAAGCTATTCAATGATTCTTACATAATGATATGGTGTAAACTCAACCAGCAATATATTTTAAGCATATTAACTTCCAATCAGAGTTTGAGAACCCAACAACTCATCTGACTTGAGATTCATCCTACCTTTACGCACTTGCCTTTTTCCCCGCTTTGGCCTAGCTAACTGCTGGCTGCCTCTGCTGCGTTCTGCTACAGTTATCAAATGTTCTTTTGGACAGGCATTTATGTGCCAACTTTGTGTGCAGCGCCACATTTGGTGAAAAAAAACTGAAATTTAATCTGCATCACCTTCAATTCCTATATAATCTCAACACTTCTACGTCATAAAAATTCCTGCTCCTGAAATTATTACATATATATTTTCTCTTTTGAGATTTTGCAGCTAACAGTTTGAGGTTACTACAGAAAGAAATTCCACATATTTTTGTTTACAAATGTTAATTCATGGTCACAATTTTAACATGGGATGCAAAAATGAACATTTTCAATATGCTTTACTTTTTTTCATAAAGGGAAGAAAGCAGACTCGCAAAGAGATAAGTGAAGCTTATGGTGTTGATTGTTTAAAACAGGGTTGCCACTCAAAGAGAATGAAATTCCCTAATCCTTCCAGGTTTTCCAGGTGTGTTTTGAGAAAATTCCAGTCCATAGGCATAGTACGCGTTGGCTGTGCTGAGAGATAAATTTATTATGTTACCATTTGAAAACACAATTTGCCAATTACATATGACTTATTATATATATAACTATTATAACTATTATAAGTATTTATATTGTAACTACCAAAACATTACTATTATAACTATAATAGGAGTTGTTTTCTCCACTGAAGACAGAGATTAGAATCTGCCGAATCTGGATTAAAACATACCTTTTTTTTGCAGCTAAACAAAAGAAAGAAATCTTTTTAATGATATTTAAAATAAATTCAGGTATTTTATATTTATTTAGCAGCATACATATCCAAAAAATATGTGCATTAAATTTCGTTATAGTATGTCATCATACAGCTAGAATTAGTTTCAGAATTATGCCAGAGAAAATTGCCGGAAACTTGAAAGTATTATTAACTAATAAATATATTTAGAAGAAAGAAGAAACATTAAATGATGTGAATAACATTAAAATGAAATTAATTAATGAAAAACTGAATTACAATAATCAACGATTATTTTGGCGAATATAATTATATTAAATGGTTAGCCTAGATGACTGATTACTTTTTTTTATATTATTGCAAAATGAAAAATAAGGCATTTATTAAAAAGGGAAAAAAAAAATTGTAAAGATTTTGCGGTAAAATCCTAGTTTACGCCAAAATAACCCATTTACTGCCAACAACTTCTTAAACAGAGAGGTGTGTTGTTACTGCTTATGATAATGTCATCATGTGTGTGTATCATAATGTCACCACAATGTGGTGTACCATACATGAAAGATAGAATCAAAGAATATGTATTGTTAAGACAGGAAACTTCTTCACAACAGGAATGGCTCCGTCCCAATCTAGAGGAAAACAGCTGCACATGCACAAAATATCTGTTGCCAAAGCTTGAAGCCAATGTCGAACTTTGAAGGTCACGTTTATCAAAAGTACATAAAACGAATATTGTTTTAAGTTTCATTAAATGCCAGAGAAAAGAAAATATTTTTTCGTGCAAGTAAATTAATTAATGGGTTAGTTAATTAAAAAAAAGCAAAGTAAAAATATACAAAAATCTGGTTTTAAATTATCATGAAAATTCAAAGAAGAAACGTTTTTTCTTAACATGTGTTCCTCAATTTCCTGTACGCATTGCCGGGGGGGGGATTCTTACCGTTAGGTTCTGTTGCCAAATCTCTTGCAAGTTTTTCCTGCACTACGGATGGAACCTTTTCTTCTTTACGCAGACATTATTTTGTTAGAATAGAGTACATGGGGCTATTCTAGCCTCCATGGCACAGTATACTAGGATTAAACTGATTTTATTTTGGAAGGTGTTTACTTCTATTTCTTGCACATGCGAGTCTCTCGATTCTCAAGGTTACTGGAAACTTGTTTTGCCTTTCTAAATGACAATCTGATTGGAGCTGTGAAAACTTGATCTACGCCAGCTGCCTGAGTTATGCTAACATGATACATAATTCGCCAACAAATTTCAATGTTGGTGCAAAACTCACTTTTTTTAATACTCACTTTTTCGCCATATGACATTCCCTGTCTTTTCCAGATTTGACTAAAATATTTAAATTCTGACTTTTTTCATCAATTTTTTAATTCTCTGAATTTTTCTGGTTTACTAGATAGTACGACCCTGTTAAAAGAATACATGTGTCTGAATCGGCTTAAAAAATTTTGCGAGTCTGCTTTCTTCCCTTTATGAAAAAAAAGTAAAGCATATTGAAAATGTTCATTTTTGCATCCCATGTTAAAATTGTGACCGTGAATTAACATTTCTAAACAAAAATACGTGGAATTTCTTTCTGCAGTAACCTCAAACTGTTAGCTGCAAGATCTCAAAAGAGAAAATATATATGTAATAATTTCAGGAGCAGGAATTTTTATGACATAGAAGTGTTGATCCATAATAGCTAGGAAATTGAAGGTGAATACAGATTAAATCTTCAGTTTTATTTTCAGCAACATGTGGCGGCTGCACACAAGTCGGCACATTAAATGTGCCTGTTCCAAAAGGCTTATATTTTTGATAACTTTGTAGCAAGAAAGCAGCAGCAGACAGACAGCAGTGTAGCTAGGCCAAAGCGGTGGAAAGCAAGTGCATAATTTTCAGGATGAAATCTCAAGTCAGACTGAGTTTGTTTTGGTTCTCAATACATTCTGATTGGACAGTTAATATTGCTCTAAAATTACTATTGGCTGGTTGAGTTTACATCATCATAATTATGTAAGAATCATATGACATAGATTAAGTCTTGAAATGATGCAGTGCAGAGAGGGGTTACAGTTTGTAGAATAGAGAAGAGAAATTTACGTTGCTAATTTAATCTTTAACATATTCTTTATTTTTCTTACTTTTTCTTCAAGAAGAAAAAGGTGTAGCAACAGAGAAGCCTTTTTAAAGATAAAGTGTTAAAGGCATTAGCAAATGGAAAAAAAAAAAAACAAATCATAAAATTTTGATCCTGTAAAGTATAATTTATAAATACCAATTTTCTAAAATAAATTAAAATTTTTAAAGTCCTATTGAATTTTTCAGCATTTCAGTCCAAAAGTCTTTTTGTTTGAGAGTTCACATAATCATATTTCTTCAGGAAGGTTCTGTTATTACAGAATATCACAAATAAAACTTTTTAGATAATTATTACTATATTAAATTAACACAAATATTTATACTATTTCCATATTATTATCATTTAAACCCATATAATGATAACATTTCAGAAATTATATTTCACACTGTTATTATCTTTCATTCAATTCCTTTATTTTACCATACTGGAAGGCCTCGCAATACTTCTAAACAAACATATCCATCAATAGGGCTGTCCTCTTGAACTAACCAGTGTGTTTTTTGCACTGGTGGCTCAGGGTGCCTAGGTAGTTACTTGAAAAGGCCTCCATTCTTTGTGTAAGGCAACTGGCCTTTGAGAACTGCAATAATACATTCCACAGTAAAAAAAGTATAATAATATAAACAAAATTACGCATGCTCATAAAATGAAAGCCTCCAACATTATCTTACATGAAGAGGGTAAAAGAAACAACTGTACAGAGGTAATTACAGGCTTCTGTTTATGAAGCAGTACTCCCTCAACATACTCTATATTTAACACAGTACCCCAATTTTAACATGCATTTACCATAATTCATTATTTACCTGTACTAATTTCACTTAATTTTTACATTTTAAATAATTATAATTATATTCAAAATTTTCAACAAAATTTCAAAAATATAAAACTTATCTTAATAACCAACCTTTCCTAAAATGATTAAAAATCTAAGAATTCTCTGCTTACTTACTAATTATTAGAATTCAAATTTCTAATATTAAATTATATTTTTTTTCATATCACAGTGTTACATTTTTAATGTCCAATTTATAAGAAAAATATCATTTCCCGAGATTTAATACAAAAAGAGTGAATGTAATTTTTTGTCACCTTCTTCAAGTGTAAATTTAATTCTATAACTGCGAAAGAACAACCTAATTTATTCGCATAAGAGCCATATTAAGATACCCAGTTTAATGACCTTGAAAGCACAGGAATGATTTGAAACATCGGCACTCAGAAAACATTCGTCATTTTACTATAAACGAACGCTGGATTAATTTTGAGAGGCTGGCTCTAGATTTCATTTTTAAGCACTCGCTGCAAATCTATGATTCGATTTTTTTTTCACATTTTCATACTGCTGTTGAATTACGACGTTGCACTTATTAAATCACCCTATATGCTGGATTAAATTTCGAAGAATGGATTTTGACTTAAAACTTTTAACAGACTTGCTAATTCCAGGTTGCGCACATAGATTGATGGAGCTGAAGATATCTTGAAGATTATAACATGAAGGCATTAATTAACTAATTTGCTTTCACAGTCGTAGCCACAATTTGAATGATAACACTTCTGTGAAGAAAAGGCACACTTTGATGATTTAAAACACTTTTTTTTTTTCTTCTAAACATTTAAGAGATGGCTGTACACTTCGTTTCCACTGACGTTAGCACTTTTGGACTTGCAGGTACTCGATATCCTTTATGAATTTCTATTACAAATGGAAGTTTGAAGCGATGGTTGATTATTGCAGACATTTCCACTGAAACACACAGGACATGTATCCTGTTGACTCAATTGTAGTAATTTCAGGAGCAGGAATTTTGTTGACATAGAAGTGTTGATCCATAATGGCTAGGAAATTGGAGGCAAATGCAGATTAAATCTTTAGTTTTATTTTCAGCAACATGTGGCAGCTATACACAAGTCGGCACATTAAATGTATTTAACGTATTCTTTATTTTTCTTACATATATATATAAAATTGATAGAATAATATCAAAATGAACGTAACACTATCCATTTGTGCAAATCAAATTTACTTTCTTGCCAATCCAATATTATAGTTTTTGTTCTTGTAAATGTTGTTGTTGTAATGTTGGACATTTGTTTTTATGAGGTGCTCTAAATTTGCAGGCAAAAAGAAAATCCTAATCCTGATGTCCAGACTGTGATGGTAATTGGTACAAACAATGTATTCGAAGTTGGTGCATGTATCCTTTTATTTATTTTCACCATTGTCAATATTTTATTTATTACTTTAATAACATTTCATAAAATGCATAACTTACAAAATATTAGGAGAGATGTGTCCGAAAATGAATGCCAATTCTGTAAGCTATACAGAAGCTTCCAGCTCTGAATTCTCGGAAGCTATTTATTCTTTTATTCTGTTTTCTTGTTTGAAAAAGCCCCCAACCTCCCATGAGGTGGTAATAAAAGGACCAACTGTTTTTTCACACTCGGTTTTAAGAAACATTCTACAATCCCATTTGCTTATTATTTTCTTCCTCCTCTCCCCCATTATTATCTTTTAGAATTCTCTTTTTAAATGCGTTTGTTGATGTTCTTTCTCATTCTGTTTGTCTTTCCATTTTAATGTATTTCTTTTTGCAGCGATTTCTCATATTGTGCATGTTAATTTTTTCCAACTGTCTTAAAGATTTTGATTCATTTTTATTAAAAATCTTAATATACTGTGCTTAAATTAATGGCATAGCAGAAGTATAACATGTAATGTTTGATTTTATGAAACTATTTTGTAAGAATATATACTCACTTTGCATGTATTCTTTTCTGTGTTATGATTTAACTTATCAGCACAGCATCCAAAATTTAAAATGAGAGTATTTGCTTAATAAATTAACTAAATTTATGGATTTTCTTAAAGTTATATTAAACGTGGCTAAAACTTGCATGTAGAATTTTGCTTGCTTACACTCAATATTTCTTGTATTATTCACTTATTCTCAACTGCAGAAAAGTGCAGGTACTTAGCAAAGAAAAAAGCTATTTTGAAATGGCAAAATATATGGTACTTTCATATTATCACAACTATCTCAGTGAAAATCTCCAAAACTTTGGAATACACTAAACTGTAGTAACCATATGCAAAACAATTATTCAGGCAACCATTCACATGACAAACATCCAGTTTCCACTGTCATCATTTTCATATACATATGTTTTGCTGTATTCCAAATTCCAATAACTTTTATAGGGAGAATTATATTATTTTGAAAGAGAGGGGAAATTTCCACAAGAATACACTATTTTGCTGCAAAATTGCTAAATGATCCATACTTTGAATTCTTTCTCAAAGTGATTGCTAAGAAATTTCCACCACAACAAAAACCTGTAACTAGATTTACTGATTGTCTTTTGGAATAAATATATAGTTGAAACTTAGAATATATGTGTGTGTGTAATATGTAAATTTTACAATAAAAGTAAATGTCCTTTTTTTCCCCGTAAAATTCACCAATTTGCACCAAGGTGTTTGTGATAATACTTAAGTACCACAAATACATGTATGCAATGAATATATATTGTTGAATGCACACAGGTCTGATGAATTGATGAAATTTATTTTATCAAAAGAAGAAACACTTCAGAGTTCTGAAACTTTCCATACAAATACTCATACAGGTGTTCACAGAGTATAATAGTAGTTACACTTCAAACTACTAAAAACATTAAACACAACACAAACAAAGCATATTTCAATATTCCGAAGTCGCTTTGAACTAACAACTTGCAACAACAACCAAGAGCAGATGCTTTCTCCTGTCTTATGTAGTTTTTGTCTGGCCTCTGAATAGTACTTTCTGCTTCTTCAAACTACTAGACTCATTGCTTACATCTGTGTCAAGAATAGAGCTGAAGGTTAGTCAGAATTAAAGCAGATGTTAAAGCTTCCTCCAAGTTGTTAAATGCATCTGCATATCCCCCCCACAAAAACTTTTGCTTGCTTTCTGTCAGCATATTAAGGGGTCTTGTAATTCAAGAAAAGTCATTCATAAATCTCCTATAGTAGGTGCAAAGTCCCAGAAAACTTCTCGGTTGATATGCATTTTCAGGGCGTCTCCAGTCTTTAACTGCTGACACTTTTTCTGGATCTATACAAACACCTTCAACTGAGATGACATGTCCAAATAAGTCACTTACCCCCCAGACACAGTCTGGAGTGTAACGCAGAAAGCTGTCCAGATGAGTTTACCTTCCAATTGTTGAACCAGATCTGTTCGGATGATGATAACAGTTCCTGTATCAATAATCATATTGCAAGGAACTCCATTGATATGTCCCATCATGGCAAAGAGACCATTACTGCTGCCAATTATTGCAATTTATGGCATCTTCCATTCCACGAGATGACAACTAATTTGTTTCCTGCATCGTTGCTTGGGAGTATTCTTATTTTCCATGTCTTTGGGTTTTCTGCAATTCCTACGAACGTGGCCTTCAGCACTGCAGTTCGAGCACTTTGTGACCTTCAGCACTGCAGTTTGCTTTCTTGTCACTCCTATTCTGTATTAAAACTTTGAATTGTCTAGTTAAATCGTCTTACATGAGCAGTTGGGTGGTGTCTGTACAAGTTGCTTGCTGGACTGCTTCTTCGTGGCGTAGATTAGAACACTTTGTAGAATATCTTAATGTTTGATGGCCTTCATGTATAGGTGTCATATTTTGTTGAAGTTTGCCCCTCTTTAAAACATTAGAGCCATTAAAATTTTTTGACCATTACATAGATTTTTTTTCAAATGCTTAGTTGTTTAATCAAGTCATGAGTTTGTTTTCTTCCTTTCTTCAGTTTTATCCAGAATTTAAGTGCAAATTTCACTTATTTCACCCTCCAAATCACTAATTTTTTGGCACATATAAATCATGAATGAAAAAATTTCGGTACTTTTCCGTTTCGCCGGCACAAATCTCGCCAAGCAGAATTTATTGGGAACAACGTACAGTATACACATAAAAAACGTTAACAAATGTTAGTTCTAAGAATCTTTTATTTTAATGCATAAATATTTTAATATCATTTAAAATTTTGTAAAAAGCCTATAAATAAAGACAATAAATTTGTAAAAAGACATTAATTTAAGAATTTACTATGCTTTCACGGTTCAACATCCTGATTCGCCGGTTTATATCACATTATCCCAAGTGATCTCATCTCACGTAAACAACGCTACAAAAATCTAATTTTCTCAGTAGTTATCTACATTAATTTCAAGTTAAATCTTAATTTGGAATACAAGTTTAAATGCAAGAATTATTTCAATTCATACAAATAGCTTACTCAGAACTTATGTAAAACCGCAGTGCTTTACTTCGCTAGTGCATTCTCATTAGAATTGATGACCTTTGACTTTGCCTTTTCTATATTTTTACCTTCAGGTGAGCAGTGTGATTACATCCTAATTGATTTAATTACGGTGAATGGCCTTAGGGCATAAAACTGAACTATCTGGTAAAAATTCTATCTAATTGTATGCCAGTATTGAAAGCAACAATCAATCTGATAAGAAATGGCTGCTACTTGTTTTGAAAATGAAGCGTAAAAGGTTACCAGCGAGGATATTCCGTTTGGCATCAGTTGCACCATTATTGGCAACTTTATTGCCTGCGCCAGCAAAATGGAAATGTGCCAAAATTTCTTCTGCATAAAAATTGCTATAACAGAATATGTCAATGCATAATTCTATGTGTATATTTGGAAATTTTTAAACAATATATTTTTATTTTAAAAAATTAATTTCAGTTTCAAATGTAGCAAGGAAAAATTTCAGTTCTGGAGTTTTCTTATCTCATTTTATATCTTGACCATTGCCTATAGAAAGCTATGTGTCATATGTTTTTACCATTCTGCAGTGAATGTCTGATTTATGCCCTTTGCAATGAATTTGCTCTTGATACGGTAATTTACTTCTGTACTGCTGCAGTGCCTTTACCCAGGAATTCTTTTATTTCAAATTATGCTTATATTTAAATAAGCCTTCTGTGCATAATTTTTAACATTATTGACTTTTTGGTAATATTTTGAAAATATTTAACTAATATAATCAGATGTGGAATCTCTCAAAATTGGAGACAATAATGTATTGGAATCCAAATGCAAGTATTGTTATATCTTGTTATTTATTTATAATATTTTGTTTTCTAGGATTATTTACAGATAATTAAGAGCCATTATATAATTCTTTTATGAAAATGGTGACTTCTTAAATTCTTGAATGTTATTTTTGTATGGGCACATAAAAAGTCCCTGTACATTGTGTCCAACTCCTTTTCGTTCAGACTAAATGTATTACCTTTTAAAAACAAGTATCTATGATACTCTATTTTTTCAAAAACGGTCACATCAACTCACAAAAATAATTGCCAAACAAAAGAATTTTTATTGAAAATAGATGAAATTTTGATTGGTAGTTATCAAGTGACGCTTAAAGAAGTTCCCACCACTTCGGTTGATTTGTACTGCCATCTACATACTGAGGTCAGAAACTTTTCCGACAGCCCTCATATTGCCTCATCAATCTCATCCTGAAAATAAAAACACTGTCAACATAAGTTCTTTTTCAGATTAAAAAATAGTCACATATAGCTAAATCGGGTGAATAGGGTGGATGTTTTTTCACTTTGATGTGTTTTTATTTAAGAAATTCAACTGTTAATCTTGTTGAATGAGAAAATGCATTTTCATGATAGAACATGAGTCCTCTAACATTCACTTCTTCAAGTGGGCATGGTATCATCTTCAAAGACCCATACTTTTACTTTCTTGACATGTTGGAATGTCAAAAAATGTTATATATGTTTCATCACCAGTTACGATTTGCAGTGGCCTCTATCTTTAAGTAATTTAAAGGTTTTTGCAATGATTCTGAGCTGCTTTTCTTTTTGGTGCTCAGCTGAAATATAGGGAACCCAGTGGCAAATTAGTTTTTTTATATGTAATTCTTCATGAATAATTTTATGTATGGTGGTGTATCCAGTGGTAAGTTCCTTCTGTATAATTTGGTAGGTGTAGCATTTATCATCGAATAACATTTTCCGTATGACAGACACATTATCTAGGATTACTTCTGATAGTGGCCTTCCTGTGTGTTCCTCATCCTGAAAAGAGTTGCAATCTCTGTGGAATTCTTTAAACCATCTGAATACAGTAGTACGAGATGGACCTTCATATCCAAATGCCAATTGTAGATGTTGAAGGCATTCTTCTTGATTTAATCCTACTTTAAAATCATAGAAATTTCATTTTTCATTCTACCTAAAATTTATTCTGCACTAAACCACTTGCAGTTGGCCAATAAAAAATCATCTGCTACGCTAAAATATTTCATATTTTCAAATCTAACCATTAATTTTTTTACCATGTATCGTCTGCACATATCTAAAAAATTTAAGAATTACCTACATATTGTCAGAACTGATTTATAGTGGAGGAATTATAAGATACAGTAAGCTTTATGTTCGTTAGTGAAGGCCATGCTTCCGTAATGCAGCCAACTAGTGTTATTATTATTACCTAGTGCTTGTGTGTCTGTAATTAGATAAAAGGGCATTATATTAGATTAATTAGGTAAAAAGGCATACTCATAATTATATGAGTTTGAACTTGAGAAATTCTTTGTCTACAATAATGTAACATTTTGGCCCTGTTTATTACAATTATACTATACATTTTTTGAAACCCCGAAGAAATTATCATTGCCACTTAATGGCTAGATCTATAGTTACATAATAGGGCCTACTATGAATGTAGACTTGAAGAAATTCCTTATGTACTGCTATGTACCTTTTTGCTGTATTTGTTGCAATTATTTTATGCAAGCTTTCAATACCCCAGCAGAATATTGAATCATGATTGAATTTTGGTCCATCATTAGCATATATGAAGATATCCAAGTAATTTTGTTTCCCCTGATTCTTTTAACTATTATAACTTTTACTAAGGTTTACAGGGTGAAACTGAACAAGTGAGCAAAACTTTAGGGAGGGATAGAAGGCAGCTATACAAGCAATATTCGTCATAGAATGTATGGTCAGAACTCCAGTGGTGCGAAGTTAAAGGGTAGTTTTCCACTGTCACATTTGAAGAAAGAGAGGAGGTACTTCAGAAAATATTTTATTAACAGAACATGCTCATAGATATTGACCTTCCACCAGCTGTAATACAGGCTTCACACCTGCGAGATAGCCATTGACGTACATTTGCAAAGCCACCAGACTTTTCCCGAATATTGCCAGCAATAATGCCGATCCTGGTGACTAGATCCATATCGGTTTCAACGGGGCACTTGTAGCTTAGGCTTTTCATATGGCCCCACAGGAAAAAGTCCGACACAAGAGATCCAGTGATCTTGATGGCCAAGCTATGGCACCACTTTGACCAATCCATTGCCCTGAGAATTTTGCATCTAAAGTGTTCTGCACATCTAAGCTGAAGCATGCAGGTGCACCATCGTGCTGTAACCACATTCTCGACCTGATAGTTGTTGGAATCAGATGCAGCAGCTCTTGCAACACCTTTTGTAGCAGTGTATGATACGATTTGCTGTCCAGACAGTGTGGCAGGAGGTATGGGCCAACCAAATGGTCATGGAGGATCACTACCCAAACATTTATGGAGAACTGCCGCTGGAACAAATAAGGATGCATGGCATGCAGTTTCATAGATGCCCGTGTGTATGATTTGTGAGTATTAAAAACACCCTTATGGGTAAAAGTGCACTTGTCTGTAAACAAAACACATGCACCGAAATCCGATTGCTGCGCATTGTGATGGAGGTACCAATGTGTGAAATCGACACATGGGTGATAGTCTACTGTTGGCAATGCTTGTACCTTCTGTGTACAATAGGGGTGCATTCCTTCCTCCTGTAGCACATGTCAAACTGTCATTTAGGACACATTTACAGCACGGGAAAAAGCTCACATGCTACATCCTGGTTGATCTTTTACCCTTTGCAGAATGTCTTCTTCAATTTGCGGTGTCCTTATGCTGCTTTCACACTACGTCTTATTTGGCTGTGCCGAAGGATCCCATTTCACACAGCTGCCGATGCAAACACGTGAATGTTTTCCAATTTTGAGTGTGTCTTATCGGAAACTGGTCTGGGTAAAATCTCTGTGCCTCACTCACATTCTCGTCTGCCGCACTGTACACAAAGTGCATATCAGCCATTTCATGGTTCATATAACCAGCCATCTTCCCAGCAATTCACAGTAGAAAATGCTTCTGACTGTAAGAACCGACCATTTTATACCATTTAAAATTCCACCTAGCAGCTCGCCGTTTCCATTTCAAACATACATTCTTTGACGAATATTGGTCTTATAGCTCTGTCAACCCTAAAGTTTTGCCTTCTTTTTCAGATTCACCCTGTATGTAAGGTGAACTGGAAAGTATTTTTTTTTAAAGATTAAATTCAAATAAATAAATTTTTGACAAGTTTTTAATCAATGATGTAATCACCCTCATTATTAACAACCTTTTATCATCTACTGTGCAAATTGTCAATGCTAGATCGATAAAAAGTAATTGAAAATCCAATTGATTTTTTTATCTGTCATCATTTTATCTAGAGATATCAAAATGTCATCTGTAGCAAATAACAAAATGTCTAGAGATGGCATTTTGTGGAAAACTCAGATAGGCGGCAATTTTTTCAGCCATCTTGAATCACGAAAAATCGCCATATCCTTGGGAGGAATTCATCAAAATGTGCTTTACAACAATTCCCTCTTCCGTCCAATATCGGGGGAAAATCTTTGCTGTGCTAATCGCGTAAGGCAAAGTGTAGCGTTTGCATTGAGATGGTAAACCATTGACATAGAACAAATTGTAAACAATTAGTTATTGTTGTGATTAAGTAAATCTACGTACTTTTTTTTCATCTTAGTATTTTATATTATGATATATATAACTCCTGCATTATTAACTTTTATACCTCCTTTTTTAATTCTTGCCATTAATTTGAACAATTATCCGTAATAATAATTATATATGTTTGAAAACATGTTCTTTATATAAATGCAGTAATGATCATGAAAAGGCGATATAGTATACCACATAGTTAAAGATGAAAGTTTTAAAAAATATGCATGTATTTCCACAATAATATTACATCCTTGAAAGGTATTCCAGGCTATTCAATCATCCAGTCATGTTTATATTGGACATTTTGGATTCTTCAACGGACATAATTTCGATTAATAAGATTAAAAAGGTTATTTCTCTGCCTTTTTTTTTCCCCCTTAAGTTCGAAAATAGTTTTTATGTAGGTAACGAAAGAAATGTAATCCTGAATTGCATAACTTCAGGGAAACAAGATTTGTAACAAGCGCTTCTATGGCTTTTCATGATGTTATGCAATTGTTTAAATTTCAGAAAGAGACCAATCAAATAGAATAGGATAAGATTAATTGAATTTGTTCTGTATTTATTCCAGGAAAAGTTATGTCCTAAAATATTATTTTTGTGCAATTTGAACATTGTCTATAACAGTGGTTTCAAACTAGCGGCCCCCGAAACAATTTTATGCAATTGGCGAATATATTTCAGCTATGCATTTGTTGCAAATATAGTGTTGCAAAGATTTCTATGTTTTACTTACTCGTCAGAAAAATCTATAAATATAAATCTTATTCGAAGATATAAAGATAAGTTTAATTAACTTTTATTCATTTTTAGTGAAAAAATAAAGAAATGCTCATGTTTTTGGCTAATGGTTTAGATATACTCATATACCCAACTTTTAATACACAAAATCTTCTACATAAAGAAATCAGTGAAATATGCTTGACATAGAAAAACAGCAGAATAATGTTTAAAATTTTATACTAACTTATTAGCATTTCAAAGTCTGATTATCATTTTATTGCATTTTTAATACTTATATTTGAATATAAATCTGATTATGAGAGGTTTAAAAACTGCTTTTATGATACAGGGTGTCTTTTAGTGGCTGGAGGGTAAAACTGTTGCACACTGGTTTTTCATCTCGGAGTCAAGCCCCGGCTCCTGGGCTATTTGCTTCAGGACTTCCCTCTCCTTAAGCAAATAGCCCGGGAGTGCTTTTGATATTCTAAATAATCCTAATCCTATT